TTGAACACCATTGGCATTGACAAATTCGCTATTAGTCAATTGCAAAAGGCGGCCTTATTAGGAACTGCTTCCATCCTGCGACGATATCTGTAATACCATCAAAAATCAACATCTGCCTATCCCAGGTCCTGGGTAAGGACTCGATAGGTAGACAAAATGCCAAATCCAGTCTGAACATCTGGCTGACTGTGCGATGATCGATAATAATAATAAAGTTGGAAGGGACCTTGGAGGTCATCTAGTCCAACCTCCTGCTCAGGCAGGAAACCCTATACCGTTTCAGACAAATGGCTGTCCAGTCTCTTCTTAAAAACTTCCAGTGTTGGAGCATTCACCATTGCTGGAGGCAGGTTGTTCCACTGCTTAATTGTTCTAACTGTCAGGAAGTTGCTTCTTGTTCTGCCTTCAGGCGCTTTGGAGAATAGCTTGACTCCCTCTTCTTTGGGGCAGCCCCTGAGATATTGGAAGACTGCTATCATGTCCCCCCTCGTCCTTCTCTTCGTTAAACTAGACATGCCCAATTCTAGCAACCGTTCCTTATATGTTTTAGCCTCCAGTCCCCTGATCATCTTCGTTGCTCTTCTCTGCACTCTTTCTAGAGTCTCAACATCTTTTTCTCCTTCTCCTTCTCCTCATCAAACCCCACTCCTTTCTGCATTGCATTCTAAGAACACCAACAGCATTAGATTTCAAATATAGTTTTCTTTCCTTGTAGGAAACTCCACACATTTGTTCACCCTGCTCCCTTTTAGCATTGAACAAGATCAGGGAGAAGACCTAGTTGAACTGCAAAACAAGAAAGTGTTCTTTTAAGAAAGTGTACAAATTCTACTTTTGACGCTTCGGATTCCAAAGAAGGTGTTTATTTGACAAGAGTATTTCTGGCTGTTGAACATTTTTTCTTCTCTCGCATAAATTCAGGAAAGAACAGTCATGCTTTTAAAAAACAGTTTATTAGTGTCGGCACCGATAATCCATGCAAGATATATCAACTCAAACTTCATGAATAAACACACTTTGTGCTAAGCAGCTGCGGGGGGGGGGGGGGGGAACCCGCGGTGATCTGCTTCAAACCTTATTTTAAAAGTAAGGTCACTTGTGGTATTGTATCAATATTTCCGTACAGGTTAAAAAAAAAAGAATCAAAGCAAAAGCTTAATAGGACTGCACTAGAAAGCAAATCACTCAATCACAGAGGTTAATAACTTTGTTTAAAAAAATAACATCTATTATAGGGAAGTCCTATCTGAGCTGAGTCGCAAAATCATTTTGTGTTTTAGCACTGAATACAAAGAAAGCTTTAAATAGAGTATATCACTCCAGCTACTGACCCATGAAGGACTAAAGGAATTTCATGGATGGATAGAAGGATGATAGGTAGAAGATAGATAGATAGATAGATAGATAGATAGATAGATAGATAGATAGATAGATAGATGGATGGATAATTTTTAGATTGCAGCAATTAATTGGTTGTGGTAGACTTCCTTTCAGAATTAGGATTTAAGCAAAATGCATTGTCCTAAGGCCAAATGGAAGATGGAAGGCCAGCCACAAATTAATCAGAGTTTTTGTCACAAAATTCAATAGAATCTTAAAACCCCAAAGGTTTTAAACCGTCTTCTTCTCATTTTCAGCTAGAGCGAAAACATTAGCTACAATAAGTAGGGCCATGTTTCAATGGGTCTGTTAGAAAAAAAAACTCTCTTGATTTCAATGGATTTGCTTTCTTCTTAAGGTGATTAAAAATCTAATCATCATTAAAGTTGAATGTCACTGATATAACCTATCAAATTCTCTGAATAGGTTAACAGGCAAATGTTATTATTTGGTCATTCACAGGTACAGTATTAGGAAGAAAAAGGCGAAAGGTTGAAAAAAAAAGTGGAACCAAAAAATAACAAGTTTAGTTTAGCATAAACAATAATAACTGCTATAGCTGTCATAAAGATAAACTTGATAGGTAGCCCTCCCGCCCCCAGTGTTTCTCCTGTTGTAGAACAATGAATTTACTATTTGTCCTGAACTACTGTTCTGTATAAGTTAAAAAAAAGTTTGTAAGGATAGACATATGAGATTCTATTCAAATAAAATTTGATCATAAGGAAATATACTATGCAGTATATGTGCCAATATGCAGCCCAATGTCAAATATCAATAGCCTTCCTGAATGGAGTAGAGACCTAATCTGGAGCAATTACTTTGCTCTAACAACTTCTCTCATTTGGAGACTAAGAATGCAATTTTTCTTTCATATTCTGACAGGGAAACTATATCACATAAGATCTTTAAAGCATGGGTTCCTATCTTTACAACAGTGCTTAGAAACTGTTCAAGTTAAGAGAATACTTTTTTGGAGTGCTTGCCCCTTAAAGAGAGTTGAGTGGTTACACAATTCCCAATTTGCTTTCTCTTCTTATAGATTGAATGATCTACATCAGTGGTTCTCAACCTGTGGGTCGGGACCCCATTTGGGGTCGAACGACCATTTCATAGGGGTCGCCAAACAATGCAGTCCGCCATTTTTTTCCCCTTTTCCTTAGCTGTGCTACTCCCTTTTGAAAGCCAATAGAATAGACTCTCTTGAACAGAGTCTAATTCTATTGGCTTTCAAAAGCCAATAGGAATTGTCCAGGCTGTCTCTGCCCTGCTGAGCCTGCCAAAATTCCCATTCTGCAAACGGTGCTGCACCAGTTGAGTAGTCCTCGACTTACGACTGGTTGAATAGTCCTCAACTTACAACCGGTTGGGGGTCGTGGCATTAAAAAGGTTGAGAACCACTGATCTAGATATTAGCAGTAGGCATATCCCAGAGGAGATAATAACCATAACGCATCTACAGCGTCAGAACAGTCCCTAAAATTTGTTGATGGATGGATCCAATGCTGTGCTATGCCATTGCTCTTTGACTATGGTCTGTTGAATACGTCTGAAAGGAATAACCACAATGAGTAGGTCCCCACCACGAGATGTATTAAACTAAAGCTGATCCCTTTTATGGCTTAATGCCATGCACGGATGTTTTCAATAAATAATGTTGTGCTATCTTTGTGCACGAAGCTCTCCGTCCACAGCTGAGTCTCACTATGCTTTTGCTGGACACCGTAAATGGATTTGCCTCTTGGAGTTACTGGTGGACTTAACCAGCTGAAGATTATTTGAATTAGAATCTATCTCTGTACTTTGTTGACCCCTCAGATTATAAGGAGCTGTGCTATTGCTGGCATTTTGCACTAGGTTACTAGCTTGGAAAATGTAAAAATAAATAAATAAAAAAGTTTGACCGAAATGCTGCAGATTCTGTTAAGAATAATTCTGAATGACGTGTTTGTGCCTTCCTTGTTACATTGACAAGAGAAGCAAGGATTAAAGTGCTATAGATATGTATAAACAAGAGGTTAGATTTGCTTAACTCTCCAAGGGACTGAAAAAAAAATGTTATATGCAGAAAAATAAATATTGTACGGTGTGTTCCATTCTTTGCCAAAAGGCAAGCAATGCGGGACTGGACTCAGTTCTGGTTAAGCACTTTAAAATCCAGTTAATGCCAGTGCATCGATAAAGCATATTTTGTTCTTCCACAGAATCCGAAAGGGATCTTAGAGTAAAGCATAGAATTTGGAGAAGCTGCCTTGGTTATAATACAGCTTTTATTTTAGCTTTTAGCCTGAGTGAGGCGGGGTTCCAGGCAAACAGCAAACATTATGAAAATCAAACTGCGTTCTTCTTTCCTCTTGTTTTTTTTCCCAAATGAATAATAAATGTTGTAGATTATTTTAAATAAGAAATAATAAGCTTCCACGCTGGAACATATTCTACTAGTGTAAACGGCTTTTTCTTTATGACAGTGTTGTCCATTTAAATGAGCGCTTAACGCTGTTGACAGAAAGCAAGTTCTTTTGTGTCTAAATTTAGGATGCTTATCTGAGCAGATATAAGCCAGTGGCTTCAACATATAAACAATTACCTGATGCTCAAGGATTAAATACCCAAATGCTAGCCAGAATAAATACAGGCTGCCCATCACAAGAGGACAAAAGCTTCAAAAAGTAAATACTTGCCCAAATCCTAAATAGCATTTGTTCAAAAACTTTTTTTTAAAAAAAAAGAAAAAGAAAAAGAAAGGAAAACTGCTCAAGGTTTTGCAGGCTTCCTTTCCCTGTAGCAGCAAACACAACCACACTTTAGAGACACTGTCTTTAAAGAATTGTGAGTCTCTCATTCAAGGCCTGTCCGGTGAATGGCACCAGATTTCACCAAATAAAATGTCACACTCTTGAAAGCAAGGAAATTAAAAATTATAATAATCTTCTGGCTATTCCCCTCCCCCCCCATTGGTCTCTTTATCTTTTTGTAGCTACAATTATAAGGTAGCTTTTCCTAACCATCGACAAAAACAAATTACCCCCTTCCCTATTACTGCTATTACAAGTAAGAGCTTTCAAGAACTCAAAAGAAGTGTTGGTGATGGATTATCCAGCTAAATCATCGTCCAACAGTTGGCAAAGAGTCAGAAATGGAAAACGAAGAGCTGACTTCCAGATAGCCAAAGACTACAGCTTCTACTACCAGTTGCAAGTCATCTCAACCAAATTGAAAGGCCTCATCCTTGGAGAAATTTCTTACATGAGTGTTTCTCTCTTGGTCAGTTGGCTTAATAATGGGGTGACCATGCCACGGTGAACCTACAACCCGACACTTTCTCCTTCCTTCAACAATGGCAGATGGAGGACATACTGACTTAACTCTTTACTCCTCCATGCAACCCTTCTCATCATTTTGCCCAACTTCCTTACCAACGATCAGAATCTCAAGGTCCACACACCTCCAGAGTCCTTTGAAAATCACTTTCTAACCGTTCTACTCTCGGGGGATGTAGCCAATCTATGAATGAGACTTAGGAAGAGCCATTCCCAATTGCCACAACTGTGTCCTTGATGAGAAGATTCAGGATGGGGCTGATATTATCCCCAAAGTTTACCAGCTTGGAAAAAGCACAATTTTTTTTTTAATACAGAAAAACCACACCTATATACAAGAAAACCTGGTAATTAGCGACAATTACCAGAAGGTTTTTTTTTTTTTTAGTTGTGTTTGAATTCAAGCTTTGATTGGGTCAGTCCATGGCATGCTTTTTTTTTAGCTAATTCTATCTAGCTTACATTTTTTTTCACCTAAAAGTTATGCCACATCTAAGTAATGTGAAAAAGAGTCACGACATATAACAATGGAATATATTTCTGTTGTCTTGGTGAGGAATACTTCATTGACTCATCACAATGGACTCTAAGTTACTTTGCATAATTTGGCACTTTTGAGCTGTGTTCTAATACTTAAGAAAGGATTCTATTTCTTTCTTTCTTTCTTTAACACTAATGGGTTCTCCTAGGCTAAGGCCACCCTAGTCAACATGCTTACATAGAAACTGCCCCCTTATTTTGTTCACTTTGCTCAAGCATTTGCAGTCCAGGTTGGCTGTTAAGCTATGAATATTTTGTTCACCCTTTTGTGTGCCAAAGGGTGGCACACAAAAGCATAATATGCACAGACAAAAGCATAATTCAAAGTGTCCATAATTTTGTGACTTCCCTTTTCCCTTCTCTATTCTCAAAAATCCACAGTGATCTACAGGTATATTTAATTTGTTGAATCAACCTCCACACTTTTTTTTTTACTTCGTGATTCCCTTCCGGATCTTTCTTTAGACGTTGATGGCATGGGCATGCTTCTTGCACAGAGGTTTATCTTTCTTCGAATAAAATGGCTGACCTTCCAAATTGACATGGCAGACCTGCAAACGAAAGACACAGAAAGACGGGGCATTGCGTCAAAGCAGATGGGATTCTGAGTCCCTACATTTCAGTCTGTTCTTTGCAGAATCAGCAAAGTTAGAGCTATCTAACATAAGATGTGCTGAGCCCCCCCCCCCCGTTACTGAATCAAGCAATGAGAGAAAGTGAGAGATTTGCGCACATGGATGATATGATTCTTTCATTCAGTTTCTTTAGGAAACAGCTGACTTGCCTCAAGGAACATCCTTGATATTCAACACATGAAACAATTTGGGTTTTGATGCAGTCAGTTGTTTCTTTCCAAAATGGTCTACCAAACTGAGATCTGAAGATGATTCAGATCTACCTCCTGTGAGCTTCCAAGAAGAACCAGAAACCAGAATGGTTTCTTCTTCATGGTTTGAAGAACATCTAATACGATCTCTTGTCCCTAACAGGTTGGCCATGCCTACACAAGGTGTTTGTTTTAGTATAACACCTTTAGAGGGCCCTGGATCCTCTTTCGGGTATCTATGTTCATGTGTTACGTGTTGTGATCCACCCACCAGCCTTGGGAAGATACCTACAGCGCAAATGAAGCACGTATCATGCCAGGTGTGACCAAGGGCTTCAATGAACTTGTCGCCAGCTTCAACGGGGAAGTCGCATCCGTGACATTTGGTACTGAACAAGGCAACGTAGTCTAGAAGAACGCACACCAAAGAGAGAAAAAAAATGAGGTTTACAACATAAAGAGTACTAGGATAAATATCGATTTCCGGTGATGTCATAGACACGCACATTTAGTTTTGGGACAAAAAGACAACAGTGGATTTTTTTTAATGCCTTCTTTGATGAGATGCAAAATTGCGGGTTTATTTCTGCTTCTCTTCCTCTTCAGCTTTGTGAGAATAATGTTTGAAATGGATTGACTCCCCTGGCGTGGCACAATATTTGGAGCATTAGATTAGGAGCAGGAAGAACTAGTTTCGAATCCTGCTGTCTTACAGACGAAAAGGGGGGGGGAACCAGCATTAGAGCATTTCACAACTATGAAAGCAAATAAGGTTGCACGGGGAATTCGTGGGAAGGAAGGCAAGACTAAACATGATCACAGAGGCATTCTGACATGAAGGAATGCCAGAGCGAATGCAACCATTTATAGAATGAATATTATGTATTATAAGCTTCTTCCTCTGCACCAAATATCAGCGACGCTAGAGCAATAGTTTTTTAAAAGATCTCCAGATTTGAGACTCTTTGATTTTTAACTGAAGGATCTTTTTTTTCCCCTTACCCAAATATCCTTATTTCTTTTTTCCTTTTTATCTCTTTATCTCCTTAGGAATGCTCAAGCAGATGGAAGCCAATCGGCTGTTTGCAAAAACAAAATCAAATAAAAAAAAACCCAAACAAGATTGAGTCTTGGAGGAAATGTCAGAACTGAATCTAAAGAAGTTGAAAAAAAATAGCACGAGTAAGAAAGTGGCATATTACTGTCAAGCAAATTGCATGGCCACGTCAAATTAGTTTCTGGGAATCAAAGTTTCCTCTACTTCACACTGTGCTCCTGGAAAGTATCTATGTTAGGACTGTGAACTCAAACTAGCAGTTGCTTTTCAAAGTCGCTGCAAACCAAAGAGGACCTCAAAAAAAAAAAAAAAAACAAAAAAACCAAAAACCAAAGTCCTGTTGAAAGAAATGTCTTCACCATGGTTCAGTCCAAGCTGGGAATAAACGTGACGACTGCTTTGGAAAGAAGGTTGCAGTTTTTTGAAGAGGAGAGCCAGACAGAAAGATGGCTTTGGCAAGAAAGAGAGAAAAGGGCTGAGCACATGTAGGGAGTGGGTTTTTATACCCTCTGGAGCCTTTTGTTTGGAGTTGCTCCTGTGACATGAACTTTGACCTGAGCCTGAGTGTGCCCTTTGGCATCTGTTGGTTAATCCTATTATGTCCTGTCTTGGGTGGGGTATGTAGGTTTTAGATATCTTCTTAATCTTCTAACTTTAATCTTCCTGAATGGTTTGCATTTGCATTTCTATACAGCTGGTTTCTGCTTGGGGGAGGGAGACTTGGGGCTATTAAGAAAAAACTCGGCATGCTTTTCTGCCTCTTTAAGATCCTTTGAGGAAATATATTTTCCTGCCTTTTTAATATTTCCTTCTCGGGGGGGGGGGGCTGACTTCCCACAGTCCTGCAAAAATTCGGGAAAGGGAACGAGCAAAAGAAGAAAAAGAGGAGATTAAAGCAGGATGCAGATTTGCGTTTTTGAAGTCATCCCTAACAGAACATGGCCGAACAGGAAGACCACCTGGCAAAGGCTTGCAAGAAGCAAGCATGAACGAAAGCGTTAGAAAAAGGAGGGGGCTTCCAAACGGAGGGTTATTTCTCTGGAAAGATCCAAGGCTATCAACGGATCAAGGAACCTTGCAGCACCTTTCTCGCAGTAGGGCTCTCCATCCTCCATGTGGAAGAGGCTGTTTCCAAACGGTTTCCGACAGGCAGCGCAGACGAAGCAAGTGGTATGCCACGTTTGCCTCAATGCATGCATCACTTCCTGGAAGAGAAAGGGAGGTGGGTGATTTTGCCAAAAAATGTCCTCCTTTTGGGGGAAAGGAACATGGGGAAGGCTAGCTCTTATCCCAACTAACTCATTCAGTGATCAAGACAAAATAATATCTCAGCAACTCATGTGGAATTCCTGTTGGTCGTTGTGGTAGGGCAGTGGTGGTGAACCTATGGCACGGGTGCCAGAGGCGGCACTTGGAGCCCTCTCTGTGGGCACACATGCCATTGCCCCAGCCTTGCCTTCCCCCATGAACCCCTCCTCTCCAGCAGCCCCCCTGAAGGAGAGTCGCCCTCGAACATGGCCCATATGAAGCAGTGCAGCCAAGGACATGGCAGCCAGACAGCGTAGACAAGACTCTGCCCTCACACCCCATCATGCAGTTGGGGGGGGGCAGAGGGTGTGGCTGCCATAGAACTGCTGGGCTGCCTGGGCGATCTGCGGTGGTCCCTGGAGGTGGTGAGTGGTCCTGTGGGCAGGCAGGGTGGGGATGGGGGCAGAGCAGGGCGGGGTGGGGGAGGAGCAGGCATGGGGCCAGTTTGGGGGCACTTGGTCTTTAAAAGGTTCGCCATCACTGTAGTAAGGCATCACAAGATGTCCTTCAGCTGTGGTGGACATCAACTGTTATGATGCTCAGTGAAACAGCTGAGCTGTCTACGGTTCATTGAGATGTTAGGTGGTCCTTGTCTTACAACCACAACTGAGCCCGACATTTTGGTTGCGAAGCGAGATAATTGCTAAGTGGGTTTTGTCCATTTTGTGACCTTTCTTGCCACAGTTCTTAAGGGAATCACTGCATTTGTTAATAAGGCAAGACAATAAGCAACGGCTGGAAACTAACCAAGGAGAGAAGCAGTGTAGAACTAAGGAGAAATTTCCTAACAGTGAGAACAATCAACCAGTGGAAGGGCTTGCCTTCAGAAGTTGTGGGTGCTCCATCACTGGAGGTTTTGAAGAAGAGACTAGACCAAGGGTAGGGAACCTTGGCTCTTTTATGACTTGTGGACTTCAACTCCCAGAATTCCTGAGTCATCAGCATGGCTGGTTCAGGAATTCTGGGTATTGAAGTCCACAAGTCATAAAAGAGCCAAGGTTCCCTATCCCTGGACTAGACAATCACTTGTCTGAAATGGTATAGGTTCTCTTGCTTGAGCAGGGAGCTGGACTAGAAGACCTCCAACGTCCCTTCCAGCTCTATTCTGATTGATGGATTAAATTTGACTTCTCCATTGACTTTGCTTGTCAGAAGGTCACAAAAGGTGATCCCATTACCCCGGGATGCTGCAACCATCATAAATGTGAGCCAGTTGCCAAGCATTCAAATTTTGATCACATGATCATGGGAATACTGCAATGGTCGTACGTGTGAAAAACAACAATCAGAACTCACTTTTTCCCCCCATGCCATTGTAACTTTAAATGGCACTAAACAAATGGTGGTAAGTGAAGAACTGCCTGTATAGTCAAGCACTTCAGGAAAGCATTAGGAAGACGAGGAAGGTGATGTGACTTTATTTCAACTTTTAAAGTGTGTGCTTCAGGTGGATGTTTTAATCTAAAGGATTAAAGAGAAAATTTGGACTGGAAACACAGCACTGTGTTATGCATTTCCGATCGTCCCATAAATGTCTGCTTAAAATACAGAAATGTCAAATTGTGGAGGTTTAGGTCATTTAAACGCACCACATTGAAGTAGGCTGATCCAAACGACCAGGGAAAAATCAGGACCGGGATAATTTGTGTACAGGACTTTGTCGACCACCTCTAATTAAGTATTGAGCAATTTGTTTATGAGGTCTCTTCTCTCTACATTTTTTAAAAATTCCTAGTTTCCAAAGTGTTACCCAATTTAATCTGACATTCCCTTTTTCCTCACATACTCTTGGCAAAACTCTAGGATCATTCCACCTTAACGAGATGTCTCGCTGGTGAGTCACAGTTAATAAGTCTAATTAACTTGAACGAGTGTTTGCATAGCAACCTAGACAATCAGTTTAGGTTAAATCTGCAGGTCATCCTGCTCGGTTTATGGGAAAGTCGATACAGGAAAAGGGACAGTCTGTGCTCCGTATCTCACAGCAGATGGAAGCCAAGATCTGCCTTGAATCCCAATTGATGAGGAGCAGAGTTTTGTTTTTTTTTTTCATTTCTAAGCCACAATCTATTCTTCTGCCTTTCCTAACAGATATGGCCCATGTTTATGGACTGATGGAGGTGATGAGACTTCAGGGGCTTTCGGGTGCCCACTGTAACTGAAATTTTACAACCGGAGAGTCACCAGATCTGGGCTTCAAAAGGGTAGATGACCATTACACGGTAGCAGAGCGCTAGAGTTTTCTTCACCACTTCACTGCTCCCTGAAGATCATTCCAATTCTTGCAATCCATAATCTCAGTGATGGCGAACCTTTTAGAGACCGAGTGCCCAAACTGCAACCCCAAACCCACTTATCCATTGTCGGGTGCTGGGTGGGTGTGGCCTATTGGCTGGGTGTGGCCCATTGGTTGGGCATGGCTGCGGTGCTAACGGCAGACTGGGTGGGACTAAAAAGTTCAATCAATCAATTCCAACTTTGTAAGATCTTTTTTTTCCCCTGTGGGAAGTTGAAATTGACTCATTGATTGAACCATTTTTTTTTTGCACACGGCAGCGGAGGCCTAAAGCAAAAAGGTTTTATAAAACCCAGCTGAAGGCCTAGGACTGGGGCGACGGCACACGTGCCCACAGAGAGGGCTCTGAGTGCCACCTCTGGCACCCGTGCCATAGGTTCGCCACCACTGCCATATCTGGTAGCTTGGCTCTCCTCCTAGACCTGATTTGGCTAGGATTCCTCCAAGTTTGCTTGCAGACTTACCCCCATGATCTTGGTGTGGCATCTGGCACAGGTCGGAGCAAAGAACTGTTCGTAGCAGTGCTCACAGTAGACACTGTTCTGTTCCTCCACAAAGCCCACATCAGCGAGGGAGGTCTTGCAATAAGCACAGTTGAATTCCTCAGGGTGCCAAGAGCGACCCATGGCTACCAAGAAGGGCCCTCTGTGAGAATGAATCAAACAAACACATTCAAAGACATATTGCTCTTCTATCCCTGGTTTTTCTATCCCTTGCTCACCTGGGTCTGTTCCAACGATTCCTAGGAGTTAGTTTAATACAGTGGTTCTCAACCTTTTTAATGCCGCGACCCCCCAACCGGTCATAAGTCGAGGACTACTCAACCGGTCGTAAGTTGAGGACTACTCCACGGGTGCAGCACCGTTTGCAGACTGGGACTTTTGGCGGGCTCAGCAGGGCAGAGACAGCCTGGACAATTCCTATTGGCTTTGGAAAGCCAATAGAATTAGACTCTATTCAAGAGAGTCTATTCTATTGGCTTTCGAAAGCCGATAGAATAAAAGGGAGTAGCACAGCTAAGGAAAAGGGGGAAAAAATGGCGGACTGCGTTGTTTGGCAACCCCCGTGAAATGGTCGTTCGACCCCAAATGGGGTCACAACCCACAGGTTGAGAACCACTGGTTTAATAAAACCCAGAAAAACCTCCATAAAGACTAACCAATTCAAAGCTTTTTGAGCTAGATTCCATGATCAAAAGTATAAAATACCATTTCATTTATACTAATGTGTGTAGGGGAAGAGCAGGTAGAGCTGGGGAGACAGAGTTGAGTGGTCCTCGGCTTAGAGTCATTACATTCCCACAAACATCCATATCCAAACCCTCTAGAATTCCACTGACTCTTATGACGATGTAAAAAAGATGTTGAGACTCTAGAAAGAGTGTAGAGAAGAGCAACAAAGATGATTAGAGGACTGGAGGCTAAAACGTATAAGGAACGGTTGCTGGAATTGGGTATGTCTAGTCTAATGAAGAGAAGGACGAGGGGGGACAGGATAGCAGTGTTCCAGTATCTCAGGGGCTGCCCCAAAGAAGAGGGAGTCAAGCTATTCTCCAAGGCACCTGAAGGCAGGATAAGAAGCAACGGATGGAAACTGATCAAGGAGAGAAGCAACCTAGAACTAAGGAAAAAATTCCTGACACTTAGAATAATTAATCAGTGGAACAACCTGCCTCCAGAAGTTGTGAATGCTCCAACACTGTGAATAGAATAGAATAGAATAGAATAGAATAGAATAGAATAGAATAGAATAGAATAGAATAGAATAGAGCTGGAAGGGACTTGGAGGTCTTCTAGTCCAGCTCAAGCAGGAGAACCTATACCATCTCAGACAAGTGACTGTCTAGCCTCTTCTTAAAAATCTCCAGTGATGGAGCACCCATGATTTCTGGAGGCAAACTGTTCCACTGGTTGATTGTCCTCACTGTCAGGAAGTTTCTCCTTAATACCAGGTTGCTTCTCTCTTTGATCAGTTTCTAACCATTGTTTCTTGTCCTGCCCTCTGGTCCTTTGGAGAATAACGTGACCCCCTCTCTTCCTTGTGGCAGCCCCTCAGATCCTGGAATACTGCTTTCCCCTATTTCTTCTTTTCTTTAGACAAGACAAGCCCAAGTCCTGCAGCCATTCTTCGTATCTTTTAGTCTCCAGGCCTTGGATTATCTTAATTGCTCTTCTCTGATTTTTTTCCAAACTCTCAACATCTTTTTTTGTGATATGGTGACCAAAAAAGGTGGTGTGGTCTGGAATACTGGAAGTTTTTAAGAAGAGACTGGACAGCCATTTGTCTGGAATGGTATAGGGTTTCCTACCTGAGCAGGGAGTTGGACTAGATGACCTCCAAGGTCCCTTCCAACTTTATTATTATTATTATTATTATTATTATTATTATTATTATTATCATCATCATCATCATCATCATCATCATCATCATCATCATCATCATTATTCATCGCACAGTCAGCCAGATGTTCAGACTGGATTTGGCATTTTGTCTACCTATCGAGTCCTTACCCAGGACCTGGGATAGGCAGATGTGGATGTTTGATGGTATTACAGATATCGTCGCAGGATGGAAGCAGTTCCTAGTAAGGCCGCCTTTTGCAATTGACTAATAGCGAATTTGTCAATGCCAATGGTGTTCAAGTGGTGCTCCAGTTGTTTTGGGATTGCACCCAAGGAGCCTATTACTATTGGTACTACCCTTGCTTGCTTTTGCCACAGTCTTTCTATTTCTATTTGTAGGTCTTTGTATTTTGTTATCTTCTCCAGTTCTTTCTCGTCTATTCTGCTGTCTCCAGGCACTGCCACGTCCACTATCCAGACTTTTTTGTCTTTCTTATTGACAATTGTTAAGTCTGGGGTGTTATGTTGCAGGTGCTTGTCTGTTTGAATTCTGAAGTCCCGGAGCAGTTTAATTTGATCATTTTCTATGACTTTCTCTAATAGTAATAATAATAATAATAATAGTAATGATAATGATAATAATAATAATAAATGTACCAATTTAGTGTTGAACTTTAGTTGACTAGATTCTTATGTATAGGCTTGAATAAGTCTTCCGTGCTGTAACCTAATGGATGGTCTTGATTCTTTCCATCTGACACGGGGTGGGGGGGAAAGCAATTCAGTCTGCATTTGGGGTGAAAACTAAGGGAAGGGGAGTAGAGAGAGGGTCAACCAAATTGAACCTGAGACAATGAGATTTATCAATCATTATTGTTCTGAATGGCCACTGCAGGATTTCAGAAGGAGGGTTCAATCACAACCGCTCCTTAACAGATTTTATTTTTTTCAGGGAAAAAAAAAAACCCCTGATAATATAGTGGGGAAAAACAGTGGAGTAAAAAAAGAAGAATTCCTTTATAAAATTAATAAGGCGGAGGCATTGCATAAGAAAAGCCATCTCTGGAAGTACCCACTGGGTTTATTTTACATCGATAGATACTCTGTCTCTATTTTAATATAGCTGTCCCCATTTACAACTGTCCCCGGAAAACCCATCGACAAATCTCATGTCTTCGTAACAGGTGTCTAATCCATACAAGCTTCTGCTGTGATGAATTTGCTCCTCTAAAATGTCACAACAATCTTGGTTCGGAGAAAAACATTATCCCGAACTATGGTTTCTTGCAGAGAGGCCTTTTAAATCAGTGATTGAGTGGTATCTTACACACTGTTGTGTTGACCTTGAGTTCCTGCACACGAAAGTTAAATCCAAGTTCCATTAAAGAGGCTGACAATAGCTTATAGACATAAATTAAAAGAACAGCAGAAGATGGATGTTGGAATAAAGAAAAGGAAATGATGAACTTTTGTAGTAGTTTTTTTTTCTTTTTTCTTGAGATGAAAGATGTTTTAAAGGAATAGTGAATGATTTGTATTTAGTATGTTTTAAAGGAATAGTGAATGATTTGTGTAGTATATAGATGTAAAGAAAAAGAATAATAGAAGGTGTTGACTTAGTGGAAAAGTTTAAATATTTGGGAGTATATATATTATAAATTTTTAATTTAAAGTGAAAAATAATTATGAGATATCATGGGTAAATGTGTAAAAGAATTTAAATTCTAATGATTTCTGTTGGTGAGAATTTTAGAAGATGAATGGTTTGCTGAAATTTTTTAAGTAGAAGGGTATTACTTTTTTAGGGGTAAAAAGCAAAGAGCCAATTTTATCGAACGTAAGTTTGTTGGTTAAGTTATAATGGAGGAAAAATGTTGTGTTTATTATGGATGAGTGGTTGTTTAAAAGAAATATACATCTCAGTGAGGTGAAGATGGATAAATTATATGTAGGGTAAATATGGGTTATGATATGGGTTTAAAATGCATTATGTAGATTATGAATAATTTTTTAGTTTTCAGTTTGGAAATGCTTATATTGTTAACACTTTTTCTTTCTTTTCTCTTTTTTTGTATTTGAGTTAAAGTATATTATCGATTTTATTATTTGTAGAGTTGGATAAGTTTATTTAGAATTTGTTTGTTTATTTCTAACCCTGTAACCAGCTCTGGGAAGTGAGGGGGGGAGGGAGGGGGTTATTCTAGGGGGGGGGATATTGTTTAAAACTTGTATAAAACTTTTTTAATTAAAAAAAAAAGAGGCTGACAATCATCTATCAGGCTAACCAAACTCAGAAGAAATTACACCACGAAGCGACAAAGGTCCTTCCCCACATATATTTTAACGAGTCCTTGATTTCACCAGGTAGGACATAAGCAGACAAATATCCTTGAATATTTATCAGCCTCAAAGGAGGGAGGGGGAAGCAGACGCTCCTATAAGGACTCTTATTCTTTGTCTGGAGCCAAACACGTCTGTTCTTTGGATTGTGTTGCAACTGTGCTGCAAAATGTGTGATTCCAGGAAACGTTACTGCCTTAAGGAGTATCCCAGAGATATCCTCTGATCTGTTCTGAAACATCCTTCTGTGTAGGGTGCAAATTGTGGCCTGCTTCTCCAGGGTGACCAATAGGCAGCCACGGTGGTTGTAAAAGAGGTTGCCTGTGGGAGTTGGTTCCCAGACTGATACAGATCCAGGAGATGGTTCTGCAGACAGCCAGGAGGGGATGAAAAGGTCTACCTCCTCACCATCTCAGGATGCTGTTGGGAAGAGATTCAGAAAGCCTTCTCTTTGATGCACACGGGAGTACATTGGTTGTCAGCAGGAAACAATTTTCAGTTGCTGACATTCTTGGAATTCCATCCATTTCTTCTCAACACATTTTTGCTAAAAAGAACTCTGGGAGAAGGGAGCTTGGGAAAAAAAACATCTTGGTTTTAAGTCTCTGTCAAGGAATAAGAGAAGAGACAAGAGGGGAGATGGGAGGAGAGGAGAGGAGAGGAGAGGGGGAAGGGGAGGGGAGGAGAAAGGAGAGGAGGAGAGCACAGGAGAGAGGGAGAAAGAAGAGGAGAGGAGGGGAGGGGAGGGAGGGAAGGGGGGGTAAGAAGGGAAGGGAAGAGAAGAGAAGGGAAGGGAAGGGAAGAGAAGAGAAACACCTTGGTTTTAAGTCTCTGTCAAGGAATAAGAGAAGAGAGGAGAGGAGAGGAGAAGAGAGGAGAGGAGAGGAGAGGAGAGGAGGGGAGGGGAGGGGAGGGAGGGGAGGGGAGGCAAGAAGGGAAGGGAAGGGAAGAGAAAACACCTGGTTTTAAGTCTCTGTCAAGGAATAAGAGAAGAGAGGAGAGGAGAGGAGAGGAGAAGAGAGGAGAGGAGAGGAGAAGAGAGGAGAGGAGGGAGAGGAGGGGAGGGGAGGGGAGGGGAGGGAGGGGAGGGGAGGCAAGAAGGAAGGGAAGGAAGAGAAACATCTTGGTTTTAAGTCTCTGTCAAGGAATAAGAGAAGAGAGGAGAGGAGAGGAGAGGAGAAGGAGGAGAGTGAGAGGAGAAGAGAGGAGAGGAGGGAGAGGAGGAGGAGAGGAGGGGACGGGGAGGGGAGGGGAGGTGACGTGGATGGGAGGGGAGGGGCAAGGCAGAAGGAAGGGAGGGAAGAGAAGGGAGGGAAGGAAGGAAGGAACGAGAACACCTTGGTTTTAAGTCTCTGTCAAGGAAATATAAGAGAAGAGATGAGAGGAGAGGGGGGAGTGATGAAGAAGAGAGGAGAGGAGAGGAAGAAGAGAGGAGGAGGAGAGGAGAGAGAGGAGAGGAGGGGAGGGGAGGGGCAGGGGGAGGGGAGGGGAGCGGGATGGCCAAGAGGGAAGGGAAGGAAGAGAAACATCTTGGTTTTAAGTTCTCTGGTCAAGGAAATAAGAGCGGATGAGGAGAGGAGAGGAGGGGAGGGGAGGGAGAGGAGAGGAGAGGAGGGAGGGAGGGGAGAGGAGAGGCAAGAAGGGAAGGGAAGGGAAGGGAAGAGAAACATCTTGGTTTTAAGTCTCTGTCAAGGAATAAGAGAGGAGAGGAGAGGAGAGGAGAGGAGGGGAGGGGAGGGAGGGGAGGAGAGGCAAGAAGGGAAGGGAAGGGAAGGGAAGAGAAACATCTTGGTTTTAAGTCTCTGTCAAGGAATAAGAGAGGAGAGGAGAGGAGAGGAGAGGAGGGGAGGGGAGGGGAGGGAGGGGAGGAGAGGCAAGAAGGGAAGGGAAGGGAAGGGAAGAGAAACATCTTGGTTTTAAGTCTCTGTCAAGGAATAAGAGAGGAGAGGAGAGGAGAGGAGAGGAGGGGAGGGGAGGGAGGGGAGGAGAGGCAAGAAGGGAAGGGAAGGGAAGGGAAGAGAAACATCTTGGTTTTAAGTCTCTGTCAAGGAATAAGAGAGGAGAGGAGAGGAGAGGAGGGGAGGGGAGGGGAGGGAGGGGAGGAGAGGCAAGAAGGGAAGGGAAGGGAAGGGAAGAGAAACATCTTGGTTTTAAGTCTCTGTCAAGGAATAAGAGAGGAGAGGAGAGGAGAGGAGAGGAGAGGAGAGGAGAGGAGGGGAGGGGAGGGGAGGGGAGGCAAGAAGGGAAGGGAAGGGAAGGGAAGAGAAGAGACCAGATGCTAACAATTACGATGAAGTTTAGTTGATCATCAGAACTGAGAAGATGGAGCCATATGTGTTTATATGGTCTAGATGTAGTAAGTTTTAACAATTGAATTAACTTTATTTTGATGTCGTATAGATCCTCTTTTCATTTTTCCTCACTTTTTTCCCTTTATGTTTTCTTTCTTTCAATCACTATGTAGTTTCTTTATTGTACTAACCTTGGTGTAGTCTTTTTTGTTTCACTAATAAAACTTTTAAAAAAATCAATAATCAAGTACAGGAGTTTTTGCTGACTTAAAACATAAAATCTGATAATGTTCTATTTACAGCAGGAGCAGAACATTTTTTTTTGGAGATTATATATAGCCTCAAGATGTAAATCATTCTAATAACTTCCATTAGTTATTAAGGAACATACCTTAACTCATTCATTTCCTCCTACCTGAAAGAGAATGTATGACACTGTATGACCACTAGTAACATTTTCGTTTCTCCAAACTGGATCCCACCAGCTGTGTTGGACACCATTAGCCTTACTGGTTGGAGATGATGGATCTTAGCAGGGATCAGATTGGGGAAAAAACTATGTTAGCCATCTTCAATGTCCACCATGAATCTAGGATGTGACCTGAACAGAGTTTCTGCTTTCCAAGGGCTGAATGGTACAGGTAGACACTGTATACAAAAGATAAGCTTTTCTCTAGGGAAGCTAATGTCAGGTGAAAAAATAAATAAATCAGGATCATAGGTTAAGCTGCAGCACAGAAAGATTTATTGCTCAAGCCTATATACAAGATTCTAGATAACTAATGGTCACCACTAAATTGTGCTAGATAAGGGCCAATGGAATTCAAGGTGGCTGGACCTGGATTTCTCACGGCAACGTGAGGATTCTAAACTGATGGTACGTTTAACTCCGCCCCCACCAGCTCTGCCTGCTTTTCTCCTACAGATGGCCCACCATCTTTCGTCTCCAGCATAAATGTAACTGCACTCCCCTAGGATTCCTGTCCATGGAAGAATGCAAGGAACATACCTGATGATGCTGTTACAATGTCCACAGAGCGGAGTTCGGCTACTGGCGGGGCAGCGTTCTGCTCTTTGGATTGTTCCCCGGGCGATAGCAGGAGCCTGGACGGATGCAGGAATGGAGGGAGGCGGGGCAGAAGACGGAGGAACTGGAGCACCCTTTGGCAGAACGTGCTTGGTGACGGTGGTGGTGCTTTTCCCAGGAGCAAACTTCTGGGAGAAGGAGTCATCCGTCACCCAGGGGGGACGGCTTGCAGGCTCAGCTTGGCTTGGAATATAGGTATGTGTGGACACCGATGGTGGGGCAGGGGCTGGAGCGGCTGCAAATGAGAAATTTGCCTTTAATAACCCTCATTTTTGTTTTTGCAAACTGCCATGTGTATCAGGACTTTCTCCTTCATACCTGAGCAGCCACAGATAATCTTAATGCAGCTTAGCTTGTTTTCGAAATTTGATGCTAGGGTAGACCTAAGACAGTGATGGCAAACCTTTTAGAGACTGAGTGCCCCAAAACTGGCCCCACCCCCACTTCACCCCCATCCCCTGCCTTGCCTGCCCGCAGCCACTCAACACCTCCAGGACCCGCCACAGATCGCCCAGGCAGCCCAGCAGCGCTATGGCAGCCAGACCCTCTGCTCACGTTCTGCAACATCAACTGCATGATGGGGTGTGAGGGCAGAGTCTTGCCTACACTGCTTGGCTGCCATGTCCTTGGCTGCGCTGCTCTGTGTGGGCCACGTTCGAGGGCGACTCTCCTTCAGGGGGGCTGCTGGAAAGGAGGGGGTCATGGGGGGAGGCAAGGCTGGGGCAACGGCACGTGTGCCCACAGAAAGGTCTCCAAGGGCCGCCTCTGGCACTCGTGCCATAGGTTCGCCACCACTGACCTAAGATATTGGACACTCCTCTGTCTTTAGAGCCAAACAAATGGCAAGAATCATTATGTTTAGTTTCTTTGGGCTGTCTCCAAGCAGTTTTGCTGCTAACCTTCGCTAATTTCAGTGGTTAACGTTGCACTTTTGTCTACCCTGAGAGAATGATGTAGTACAGGTGGTCCTCAACGTACAACAGCTTGTTTAGTGACCGTTCAATGTTACAACAGCACTGAAAAAAGTGACCGATGACTGTTCTTCACACTTACGACCATTGCGGGATTCCCATGGTCATGTGATCAATATTGAGACCCGGGGCAACTGGTTCATATTTATGACGGTTGTAGTGTCCTGGGGTCACGTGACCCCCTTTTGTGACCATCTGACAAGCAAAGTCAATGGGGAAGCCGGATTCGCTTAACGACTGAGTTACTGATTTAACAATGGCGGGGATTCAGAAAGGGCAAAACCCACTTAACAAATGTCTCACTTAGCAAAAAGTTTGAGCTCAGTTATGATCGTAGGTCGAGGATTACCTGTATCCAAAGAGGTGGCCTAATGCAGTGGGCAAAAGGAATTACCTCAAGGAACAGAAGGAAGAACTATAACAAAGACAACCGATAAAAGAAATTTGAGTCCGGCCTAGAACTGACAAAGCACCTCTGACTTGATCTTCCCTAGTTCTCATGAAAATCAAAGTAATATTAGCATTCATATCTCTGGTTTCCTAACTTGATCTACCTTGAAAGGACGAACGCTCTTCCATTACATGCTGGATATAACATAGCCCCTGTGTCAACGCTGCTTACATCGGATGGTCTTGCTTTGACAGCAGATGGAGATGCAGCCATTTTCCCCTCTTTTATGTTTTACTCTTAGAGTTAGAATTAGATGATGGGGGGGGGGAAGAAGGAGGAATGTGCTTGGGAGTTTAGTTAGACATAACATTGCTGTATAAAGGTGGGAACCAAGATTTTTTGTTATAAGAGATGATAAGACATGGCTGGGATGAAGAACTGGTGGGAAAGCCTGCATTTCAAACTAATTGGAGAATGTGATTTATGACCGTTAGTTAGAGGAGGGAATTGTGCTTTGATACTATGTGCTCAGGGGAGGGGAATTCAGATTTTGGCTAGGACTATGTACGTGCTGATGTGATGCTACTCGAATAAAGATTCTTTAAGGTAAGCAATGCCTCAAAGTTCTTTGAAGAGTTTCATCTGTCAGAACCATGACACCCTGAACATGGAGGCTCCCTTTGGCTGCTGGTTAAGTAGACCCATGTTTTATGAAAATAATTGATTCTTCCCTGGTGAAATGAAGTAGAGACTGTGTGGCAAATTTAGTAGTAAGCAGAAAGCTGGACTCAAAAATCAGCCTCAGCTTTCCAGACTTCATCAGCTCCAAAAGACAAGAGAATTTGCAAACTAATCCTGGACTGCCTGTTATAGCTTTTAATAATAAATTTTGGAATGCTGCCTTTCTCTAGTCTTCGTTCTGTTTTATGTTTAAAGGAAAACTTTCTTTTAATTTCCGGTTTAGCTTTGTTTCGTTCCTTCATACCAGCTCCAGTGTCTCGTTCCATTCCCACCTTAGCCCAAGGCCTCATTCCTTCATACAAATATATTAAAAAAACCCTTAAAATCTATAAATGGAGGCCTTTCCTTGTTCCCAAGCTCCTGATGTCTTAGATTAAGTCACTCAAAGTTTTGGAGGCAAATATCTTGCTGTTTAATCAGAACGCTAGCTTAAATGTTCCAGTGGCTTTGGTACCTTTATCTTGGTGAAAACAATATAGAAATAAATAATATTGAGCATCTCAAGAAGAAAGACTGCAGATACATCTGTACTTTCCTAGGCGTGTGGCTGAATTTCAGACAGTAAAAAAAAAAAAAACAGTGAACAGCTAAGAGAATACGGCATTCAAAAAAGTAATATCTAATTGTTAAGTGAAGCTCGTTCCACCCTATCTGGATTCTGTTGTTTTATTCCGGTGAGGACTTCTATAAAACATGGAAAGGCTTAAGTCTTCTTCTGGGACACCATCATAACGAAAGGAATGTACCATACAGATGCTTGTAGACATCTGGACTGGCCCTTCTGCTTGCTAGGAACAGAAAGAGCTTATTCTCAAGTCATAGAGGCAATCCTGGGGGTGAAACCTAGAATATCATGCCATCTGCTGACAATTTTCGAGAACTGGCATCCTGCAAATTAGGACTATACTTCTGATTTCTGAAGACATGGTTTATCTCCCAGAAAAAGGAGGGCATGAAGTTGTTTTCAGCAAGTGCTAAGCTGTGTCCTGACTTCAGTGGTGGAATGCAGAATTTTCCCAACTGTGTTTATACATGAAAGCAGCTTGTTAGGTTAATGAGAAATGAATGGATGCCTGTGGCTGTTATTTTATAAAGCTCTGTTCTCTTCAGAGGTGTAGCATCCTTCTTTTGGTGTCAGGAAATGCTGGCAGACAGAGCTGTCCACTTGTCACATTTTCCCCTCATTCCAGGGCGAGATTGCACCAGATTCCAGAATCTTTTTCTTCTTTTTGGACCCCAGGATCTCACAGCTGAATTTCGGTTATAAACCAGGTCGAGGCGGATCTTGGCTGGCTGAAGAAAAAGTGAGCACGCTACCACCAGAAAATCTGAGATATGTGTGCCAGACTGGGACATAAAAAGACTTTCTAGCTGATGGCACTAGCAAAAATTCCTGCATTGTTCCCATGGAAACCACACGCATATTCATGAAGTTATCAGAAATGGATCTTAACTTTTATTGATTTGGATGAGATTTAAATGCTATCTAATGGGCTGAAATGACTTTTTTATATATATCGAAATAGATTGATTGATAGATTTTATATTCAAAATAGAGTAGAGTAATATTTTTATTTTAAGTAGAATAATTATTTTGTAACGGAAGAAGAAGAAGAGATTTGTGATAAGAGAAGAAATGGTACTAATTAATGATTTAGTAGATTAAGAAATAGAATATATCTGGAAATATTAGAATGTTACTGTCGGAATATTATGCGTTTTTTTTAGAAGGGATACCCGAAGTGCTAATAATGTGTTTATTTAAGATTAAATTGGAATATGGTAATTGTAAATTAGTTAAGATTTAAAACAGGATTGGGATTTACATAGATGTAATGCTATTGATGATCGTTTTGATTGATTGAATTTCATGTAGAAATGGATTAACCTAAATATGTAGAAATGGATTAACCTAAATATGTTAACCTAAATATATCATGAGAAAGGCAGGGCTAGATGAAACAAAAGTTGGAATTAAGATTGCCGGGAGAAATATCAACAACCTAAGATATGCAGATGATACCACTCTAATGGCAGAAAGTGAAGAGGAACTAAAGAGCCTCTTGATGCAGATGAAGAAGGAGAGTGCAAAAGATGGCTTGAAACTCAACATTAAGAAAACCAAAATCATGGCATCTGGCCCTCTCAATTCCTGGCAAATAGATGAGGAAGAAATGGAGGTAGTGACAGATTTTATTTTTCTGGGCTCAAAGATCACCTCAGATGGGGACTGCAGCCAAGAAATTAAAAGACGCTTGCTCCTGGGGAGGAAAGCTATGGCAAATCTAGACAGCATACTAAAAAGCAGAGACATCACCCTGCCAACAAAAGGGCGTATAGTCCAGGCCATGGTTTTCCCAGTTGCAATGTATGGCTGTGAAAGTTGGACCATAAGAAAGGCTGAGCGCAAAAGAATTGAGGCCTTTGAACTATGGTGCTGGAGAAGATTCTTGCGAGTCCCTTGGACTGCAAGGCGTTCAAACCGGTCAGTCTTAGAAGAGATCAACCCCGATTGCTCTTTAGAAGGCCAGATCCTGAAGTTGAAACTCAAATACTTTGGCCACCTAATGAGAAGGAAGGACTCACTGGAGAAGGGCCTAATGCTGGGAAAGATTGAGGGCAATAGAAGAATGGGACGACAGAGAATGAGATGGCTGGATGGAGTCATTGAAGCAGTAGGTGTGAACTTAAATGGACTCCAGAAGATGGTAGAGGACAGAAAGACCTGGAGGAACGCTGTCCATGGGGTCGCGATGGGTCGTACACGACTTCGCAATTAACAACAACAACGTTACACTATTTGAGGGAAATAGAGAGGGATCCTTTAATGAATTAATTTGAGTCATATAGGTATGATTTTGTTTCTGGATGATTGATTACCCCATCACCACGGTGTTTCTTTAGCACTTTGATGTAAAGTTAAAAAATCAATAAAGCTTGTAAAGCACGAAGCCGAAAACACCAGCCTGAAGATGACGAATAGGACTTCATCAAAACGTCGCCAAGACACTTCCAATTATATATATATATATATATATATATATATATATATATATATATATATAAAGAAATGGATCTTAACTTTAAGGAAACTTCAACTTTATGATATATAAAAGTATATCTAAAAAAAGCTTTCTGCAGTTTATTCAAAAAAACAATGAGCCATCCATCCAATCGAAGGGTGGTGGGGGGGAAATTAACATAGAGGTAGACCTTGATTTGCAACTACAATAAGGACTGGAAAATTCATTGTTAGGAGGCCCGGTTGTTAAGTGACCGCACCCAATTTTATGATGCATTTCTCATGGTTGTTAACTGAGTTCCCTGTTGTTATTCAGTGAGACATCACATGACTGCAACTTGCTGATGGCCTCCCAATTGACTTTGTTCGTCAGATGCTGGCTGGGAAGGTGATAAATAGCAAATCATATGACACAGGATGCTATGAGCATCGTAAAGGAGCAATGGTTGCCCATGATTGCAAGACATGGGGATGTCTACGGAGATTCTCAGTCCTCGAGATCATGGTTGTCCCAAAGGTGCTTTTTCACAAGGCAACTGGACTTCCTTTTTTCTCTTTGAACACGTTTTGCTTCTCATCCCAGAAGCTTCTTCAGCTCTGACTGGATGGTGGAGAATGGAAGGATTTATACTCCTTATAGACAGCTGGTCATTTGCATTCTTTTAGAGAGTCATTGATACCACCTGGAGGCTTATCTCATGCCCTGATGACACATATAAGCCTCCAGGTGGCATCAATAACTTGCTAAAAGAATGCAAATGACCAGCTATCTGCAAGGAGTATAAATCTTTCTATTTCCCCACCAGCCAGTCAGAGCTGAAGAAGCTTCTTGCATGAGAAGCAAAACGTTTTCAAAGAGTAAAAAGAAAGTAAGATAAGATAAGATAGCCTTTATTGTCATTTTTTTTTTATTGTGGGCACAACGGCACACATCAAAAATGAAATTTAGTTGCCCGCTCTCAAAGTGAAACACATACATGACACACACCTAAAACATACTATACACAACATATGTATAGACCCACACCCCTACATATACACAACAAATAAATATTAAATACTGTCCATCTTGAATATATAACGGAAGGAGGAAGCTTGAGAGTTCACAAGGTTAATGCTGTATGGAATGAAACTGTGGCTGAATCTGGATGTTCTGCTACGGATACCACAAAGGCCCCCCTCCTCCCAGAAGGTAGCAAGGAAAACAGGTTGTGGAGAGGATGTGTAGTGTCCCAGACGATCTTACGGACCAGTTGCCTCGTGAAAAAGCACCTCTGGGACGTAACATGGGGATGCTGCCATGGTGGTAAATTCAAGAATTGTTCAGAAGTCACTTTTTTAAAAACACCACCGTAACTTTGAATGGTTGCCAAATGAGTAGTTGTTAATTTAAGCAAGGGGTAGCTATAGCTTTCTTCTTCTGAAAGCTTTTGTTGTTGTTGTCATTGCTGTTAAGGAGCATTACTGAATGCAGTGAAGGATACCTTCAAAATCCCCTTACCTGGCTGATAGACCGAGGGCTTTATGCTGGCAGTGGTTATAACCCTTGGCTTCGAAGCAGGTGCTGGGGCTTCACTGTAGCCTGTGTAAGGCGTTGGGCCATGGGGAGCCGCAGCTGAGCCGTAGGCTTGGCCTCTGAAACCAAAGCAGATCACGCATTTGTCAGAAGACAGGACAAACAGCTGGAGAATGATGGTCCCCCGTACAAGGCGACAACTCTTCCTTGGAAGCTCCAGAAGAAAACAGGGAGATGCTATCACCTTGAAGCCTAACAGAGTTAATATGCACTTTCCTTTTTTTTTTTTATCAGAAAACTTTCCAAAGGAAAAATCAAACGCTTGGGGCACTGTTAGCCTATTTTGTAGAGTGCACATCCGCAAAACCAGCTCCAAGGTTATTTTGGTTAAGACGGTGAGGTTTCAGAGACCCAGAGAAGACAACCCTGGTGGTCTTATCCTGGCCTTGATTCCGATGGAAAGAAATCTGGTGTGCGTGGGAGAGAGCAATATAGTGGATACACCGAGAGGAATCTTCTAAAAATGTCCTTCGACAGAATGACCAGTTGGAGGGAAAACGTTCTAGATCTAGCAGCCTTTTGGTCTGAAGGGGACATCCCAACTGTTCCAGCTTCTTGTTGAAGGGCTGATGTCCCAGCTTTTGCCAAGACTGAGGATGCTATTGTTTCACATCCAGGAAAAAAGAGGACCTGGTGTCAGAGTCATCGTCTTTGGAAGTTGCTTTTCTTCCATTGTAGAGGAAGCCGATTGGCTGAAGGCCAGGAGACCCATCCAAAGCCTGAAGCATCAAGGGATGGTTTGGGCCTAGCCTGGGAGACCCTGAGTTTAGATCTTTCTAGAATTCTTTCTAGAATCTCAGATCAAGGATTTAGTTGTAAATACTCTTTCAAGGTGATATATATGGTGAAAATAGATGAATAATGTACACAGTTTGTGTATCTCTATCCAGTGCTTTTTTTGTAAAAAAAAAAAAAAAAGGTGCCAGAACTCACACATGTCATACAAACCCGCCTTGCCTACCCTACAAGGTTCCATCCAAAAAAGGTGCCAGAACTCAGTTCTGGGCGTTCTATGAGAAAAAAAGCCCTGTCTATATCTATATGAATATCTATGTCTATGTCTGTCTATATATCTATATCTATGTAGGTCTTTGGTTATTCGGGTTTTCTCCCGCGTCAAATTGGAAGTGTCTTGGTGACGTTTTGATGAAGTCTCATTCGTCATCTTCGGGCTGGTGTTTTCGGCTTCGTGCTTCTAGGAGCAATGTATGAACGTAGCTGTTTCTTCCTTTTAACTGCCAGTGGGGGTATGAACTGATTGGATGAGAGCTTGGCTGTGTTCCGATTGGATGGAGGTGTGTTCTGATTGGTTAGGAGCTTGGCTGTGCTCTGATTGGATGGGGGGGGGGTTGGCTGTGCTCTGATTGGTTGGGGGAGTGTTTTGTTTGGGTGGGGGCTTTGTTGTGCTCAGGTTAATCTGAGTTGCAGGAGGATGTGAGATGGTGAGAATTGCTGTTGTTTGGCTTCGCGTTCGTGGTCGTGCCTCATCTTCATGGTGGGTGTCAGTTTGCTTCATGTATGGATTGGAGGGGTTTAAAGTGGCTAATGATGCATAGCCAAGCTCCTAACCAATCAGAACACACCTCCATCCAATCAGAACACAGCCAAGCTCTCATCCAATCAGTTCATACCCCCACTGGCAGTTAAAAGGAAGAAACAGCTACGATCACACATTGCTCCTAGAAGCATGAAGCCGAAAACACCAGCCTGAAGATGACAAATGAGACTTTGTCGAAACGTCGCCAAGACACTTCCAATTTGACGCGGGAGAAAACCTGAATAACCAAAGACCTATATACAAACACCCGCGAAAACCTCAGAAAACATCTATATCTATGTCTATATATCTATATCTATGTCTATGTCCACATCTATGTCTACATCTATGTCTTTGTCTATGTCTATGTCTGTCTATATATCTATATCTATATACGCGCACAATATATATATATACGCACACAGTATATATATACTATATATATATATATATATATATATATATATAGATAGATATAAATATATAGATAATATAGATGATATAGATGATATAGATATGGATATATAGATATAGATATATAGATACACACACACTCACATACAGTGTATATATATATATATATATATATATATATATATATATATATATATATATATGTAGGTCTTGGTTTTTCGGGTTTTCTCCCGCGTAAAATTGGAAGCGTCTTCCAATTTTACGCGGGAGAAAACCCGAACAACCAAAGACCTACATACAAATACCCGCGAAAACCTCAGAAAACATATATATATACGCAATGAACTTTGAGAAGCAGACAGTAAAACAGGAAGGGCAGATTAGAGTGCCTCAGGGTGAAAATGCAAGGGCTTCTGAAAGAGAGAAAACAGTATAGTCCTTCTTTAATAAAAGATCTGAGCTGGGCTGTAAAAAAAAAAGAGATCCATCTAAATTTCAACGGGAGAAAATTAGAGATTTGGAAGGAGCTGACGGTGCTTTGCCAGGCCAGCTCGGAAAGACTCAAAGCAGGGCGATGATGTGACTGCGGGGCAAGCAAGAATTAAGTTTGGAAACTATTAGTTGTCAGAGAAATGAAGCTGCAGCAGATAAGGAGCGCATGAATGCTGTACTAACGATCAGCCGTCAAATGAAAAGCTGAAAGCTTTGAGTGAGATACCTCTTCTGCGACTGGTAGGCGACGGAAGTCGAAGCTTGATGGTGGAAGCTAAAAAAAAAAAAAAAAGACATTTTTTTTTCTAAATGCAGAAAAGTAAAATCAGCCTTGATGGAGACATAGCGTTTCTAACAAAAAAGAAGATTTATGAAGAAGGGAAGACACACGGAAAGGCTAAAATTCATTATTTTGGTTACACAACGGGACAGGTAACATGGGTTCCATAAAAACAAACCTAATGGAGTTAGTAACAGTAACTGAGTTAGAAAAGATCTTGGAGGTCATCTAGTCCAACCCCCTGCTCAAGTGGGAGACCATTTCAGACAAATGGCTGTCCAGTCTCTTCTTAAAAGCCACAAGCGCGCCTGAAACTTCTGACGACAAGCCCTTCCATGAATTAATGGTTCCACTGCTAAGAGAATCTTCTCCTTAGTTCCAGGTTGCTTCTCTCCTTGATTAGTTTCCATCCAATATTTCTTGTCTTGCCTTCTGGTGCGTTGGAAAATAAGTTGGCCCCTCTTCTTTGTGGCATCCCCTCAAATACTTAATTCTGCTATCGTGTCACCCCTGGTTCCTCTTTTCACTAGACTAGGAGATATACTCAGCTCTTGCAATGGTTAGGTCCCCTAATCAACTTCGCTGCTCTTCTCTGAACTCTTTGAAAAATTTCAACCATCTCTGTTGTATTGGGGTGATCAAAACTGGATGCACTATTCCAAGTATGGTCTTAACTAGGGCTTTATAAAGCAGTACTAGTACTTCACGTGATTTGGATTCGATCCATCTGTTCATGCAACCTGGGATCACATTAGATTTTGCCTTGTCTGAAAGAAGCTTTAACTCTTTTCCTGACGTGTCGGTTAGACCTGGTTTAAGATATCCACCGAACTTTAAAAGGCAGCTTTAAACTCTGTTGAATTGGTCTGAAGAAACTTTGCTTTAAATTTTTCTCCAAACAAATCTTAACTCTGGTTTGTCAAAAACTCTGAAGAGTGACTTGGGGAGGGCACCAAAATTTGATCGATAAACAAATAAACAAACAAAGAAAGAACACAGCTTTGTAACCCACAAACTGACTGATGGCAGATGTACTACTGTTAAGACAATGATCCTTTGTTGCATACCAGCAATCAAATTCATTCATTCATCCATCCATCCATCCATCCATCCATCCATCCATCCATCCATCCATCCATCCATTACATTTATATAGCCGCCAATCTTATAAACAACTCTGGGTGGGTATAGAAATAAATTGCAGATAAAATACAGGAAAAGAATTCTTCCAAATTTTTGTGGCTGTGTTGGAGGAGGAGAAGCAATAGAAAAGCTATTTTTAGGTGATAATTTAGATAAATATAACAACATCTTCATGATTGTAACAGATGACAAGGAATAAAGGGCTGCAACATAAGCATTAGATGTACCGCAGGATGGATGGGAGACAACCAAGAAGTTTCAAATCTGTGTTTTCTTGTGATGCTGTTAAGTGGTTTTACAAAACTTTTTACAACTCAAAATATGAGATCAGCTCCGTTTTGTAGGTTAGAAGGAGAATTCAAGTTTGGAAAAGTTAAAGGCACAACATCAAACTTCGGAAACAACATAAAAACAACAACAAAATAAAACTATTCAAAGAAGAAAACAAAACATAATTTGGGAGAATAACTTTCATAAATGTAATTATGATTTTAAGGAGAGATGTAAAATGTTAAACATCCTATCCAACATTTTCAGCTGGCATACATTTGGATAGATTATACCAAAGCAATATATTGGCAAATTTTTCTGACAGTAAATTTTTCATGTCAGTAAAGCAATTTGTATTTAAACAACACGGCCAGGAAAGATCCATGGAAGTTTTGTTTTTATAAATGATTACTGCAGTGAGGCTATTATATGTGCAAAAAAAGTATCCATAATGGAAGAATGGCTGGTGAAGAAGACAGAGCTAGCAGAAATGGCAAATTAACTTGTTTAATTAGAGAAAGATTAACAATTACATTTATTGGAGAGCAGAAACACCTGACAGACTTTTTGCTGAAAAAGAAAAAAAAACCAAGAAAAATGAACTTGTGAATTATACCTTTGGAGATTAGAAAGGATCATTTATGGAACGTTGTGACTTTAGAGAACAAAATATCAATGAATTACTCTCAGTCAGATTAGAAGCTGTTTCTTTATCATTTTTCTGTTCTTTTTTCTTTTCTTTCTATTTCCTTTTCCCCTTATTTTCTACACTTTATTTTCTCTTTTGGTTTTTATTTTGTTAAGAATTTCCTTAGTAATAATTGCCCGTGCGAACAGGTGTATAAAACAATACTCTAAGGTACGTTGGTACTGCGTACAATTTTTGAGCTGATGAGGTTTCCCGTTCTCTGATAAATACACTGATTTTTAAAAGATGCACTCCCGGTTTTTGACGCTCTGCCATAATAAATCAGGCAGCTAACAAGTGAATTAATTTCTCCTGAGGTGTCATTGTATATCTCCTTGGAAACAAGCCACATCAGTGTTATTTATGAAGGACTATTGTGCAATCATTCTAATTTCCCGAAAAGGTTTAATCAAAGGGAATTCTTAAATTGCTTCAGAGGTGGTAATATATATCACTACAAGTACAAACATGGATAGGAAGGTTGATGTTGCTATGTCTGGAAAGCAATGAGCCTGAGACAAAACTGTCATCAGAATAGGTCAAACTCAATTTCACTGAGGGCTGCATCACCATTGCGGTTGCCCTGGGGGGAGGCAGGTGGGTGTGGCCAGAGTGGGTGCATCCTAATGGATGGGTGTGGATGGAGTGGGTATGGCCTACAGGGTGGGCATGGCCAGTTCTACATCATTCACGTCAAGGGTGCCTACGGGGGGGCCTGGGCAGGAGTGGGACAGATCTGAGGGTCTCTGGCAGAAGGGGATGGGACTGGGGCAAGTGCCAAGGCATGGTCCACTGGGGCAAGGGCCAAGATGGCCACCACAAAATTGTACATTGGCTGAAGTTGAAACTCAAGTACTTTGGCCACCTAATGAGAAGGAAAGACTCACTGGAGAAGGGCCTAATGCTGGGAAAGATGGAGGGCAATAGAAGAAGGGGACGATAGAGAATGAGGTGGCTGGATGGAGTCACTGAAGCAGGAGGCGTGAGCTTAAATGGACTCCAGAAGATGGTAGAGGACAGGAAGGCCTGGAGGAATGTTGTTCATAGGGTCGCAATCGGTCGGACACGACTTCGCAACTAACAACAACAAAGTAGACTCCATAAAAATCTGACTTCAATTGCAGTATTTTGGGGGTTAAAAGTCTACGTGGCTCGAGCTCCTGTTTTTAATTGTCTCTGAATTCCTGTGACCAATTCAGCTTCAGACTATGGGACCGGTTCCAAACTTCTTTTGTGCCGATTGTCTGGATTTAAGACTTTTCAAGTTCTTCGGTCTGACTAACAGCTCCTGTTAATCAAACTACCACCACCTCTTCCTCATTTGAAGCAGCGTGATCTCTGGCCCAAGGCCAGATTTTTGCAATTAATTTCTGAACATCTCTGAGTGAAAGTCTTGCCATCTCATTTGAAACCAGGCTGGAACTTGTGACTCATTTTCTGCAGAATATATTCAGCCGAAAAACATTTTTTCCATTGATTAATAAATCTCTAACTGAAAACTCCCTGAAAACTTCTTATTAATTGGGGTGCTTCCAACATGGCTGATAATGAAACAGAAGATGATGTAAAGAGACAAGACCAGAATTTATTTTCACTTGGCGCACACATCGATGGTGAATTTTTTTTAATGTGAATTGATAATAGCTAAATCCCTTTCTGAGTTACTATATTCACTTGCCTGTTCAAAAGGTCAACAAATCTGTTAGAAAAAGGCTTTCCTGTCCAGTTAGATACACCTACCCTTCTCCATCCTTAGTAGGTTGCAACTGAGTCCGGATTAATATTGCAAGAAAGAAATATTGGTGGGTACGCAAAGTAAAAAGACTGGCAAACTTTGTGATAAAATGGTGTGCTATGAATACTCTTTGCATAGACTGCAACTGTTTATTTCTGCCAGTTCCTTGGGACGATCAAGGTCCCTTCTCAAGTTCTATAAAATGCAAAGTGCTGCAAATACACAGTGCACCTTTTGATAATGTGGGAAGTCAGCCCCCCCGAGAAAGAAATATTTTTGGAAATATTTAAAAGAAAAGATATATTTCCTCAAAAGATCTTAAAGAAGCAGAAAAGCATGCTCAGTTTTCTTAATGGTCCCAAGTCTCCCTCGCCCAAGCAGAAACCAGCTCTGTAGAAGTGCAGATGTAAATAATACAGGAAGGTTGGAGGCCCCCAGCTAGAAGATAAAGAAGATAAAGACCACCTAAACTCTAAATACCCCACCCAAACTCTAAGACAGGACATAATAGGATTGCCCACAGATGTCAAAGGGACACAGGTCAAAATACATGACACAGGAAATACAAAGCCTCAAACAGGAACAGGAAACAACCTCAAGAGCCCCAGAGGGTATAAAAACCCAGTCCCTACATGTGCTCTCTCCTTTTTCTTCCAGAGCCATCTTTCTGTCTGGCTCTCCTTTTCAATAAACTGCAACCTTTTTTCTAAAGCAGTTGCCATGTTGTTTATTCCCGGCTTGGACTGAATCATGATGAAGACCTTTTCTTCAACAATAAAAAGGAATGGAAAAGGCCTAACCACGTTCATCATTCCTACAAGACCTCAAAAGAAGCTTTTGGACTTTTATTCCACGGTTTAACTCAAGTGAGATTTTAAAATAGAGATTGATGATTAGATATTTCAAGGATGGCCTTCGAATTTTATGACCAGCAAATGCCTATTTGAAAACAAGGTCCTGTCTGTCTCCCTCCCTCCCTCCCTCCCTCTCTCCTCTCCTCTCTTTTCATCTCTTTCTTACAGATCAGCCTGTCCTCTTGCAGATCTCAAATGAATCAAATACGGGGATCAGAAGCACCACAAAAGTTGGCCGTAGCTATCTAATGGCCAAAGAATGAAGCTTTGCTTTGCTGGGAAAAACACCCTAGATATGAGTCAACATTGAACCACTCCGTTTTCAAAGCCCTGCCAACTATTTTTTGGCACCCTATCTGAAGCCAACAATAATAAAGAAACACTTGACTTTTAAGTAATGATTTACACACACAGTTTCTAGAGTTTAAACCACAGCTTGCAAGGCTATCCTCTTCTGCAGGTGAAAACAGGGGAAAGAGTGGTTTGCCTAAAGCTACCTGGAAAATTTTTGGACTGAGATGAGATTGAGATCACAGATACTCACTACATGGCTAATATTTCATGTGGTAGCAAAGTACTACCAACCCTCTGGAATATTCCAGGTATCTCGGTTTTCTATCAATTCATTACATACAATTTAAAGTCTTTTTCTGGGGAAAGATCCAGCTACCATAACAGGGGATTTAGTGTACCTTGGAAGAATGAAAGAACATAGGTGCATTTTTCTGGCTTTCTGTGAATCTAGAAATGAAGCTTTGATTTGTACTGGCAACCGATTACACTGGCACCATCCCCAAGGAAATATAATGTGCCGGAATGCCTAGTCCTAGTTTAGATTATTCCAGTGAAGCTTTACAAATTATGAGGGGAAAAAAAATGCCGAACGGAACTAACCAGGTACAGTATGTACAAAGATGAGATGGTCAGAGTGATAATATTAACCATGCAGTGATGCAATTTTGCAGCTGATTTTATGAGATGTGAGTTTGCAGACTGGTCTTCTCCAAACTGAAATCAAGTTGAAATCAAACTGAAATCAAATCAAATCAAGTTTGATTTCGGTTTCCTCCGAAAACTGAAATCAATTCTTTTGGAATAGCAATAGCACTTAGACTTATATACTACTTCACAGTGCTTTATAGTACAGCCCTCTCTAAGCAGTTTACAGAGTCAGCATATTGTCCCCAACAATCTGGGTTCTCATTTTACCGACCTCGGAAGGACGGAAGGCTGAGTCAACCTTGAGTCGGTGAGATTTGAACTGCCAAACTGCCGGCAGCTGACAGTCTGCAGAGGTAGCCTGCAGTACTGCATTCTAACAACTGCACCACCACAGTTTTAGCCACTAAACTGAGACAGCTACTCAGAAGAAGACATTACAATGGCAGACGTGTTAAAACAGCCCTAACAAAAATGATTTGTCACTCTCATATTCCTTTCCTACAGGAGTTTGTACTCTTAGTTACAGTACTAAGGCTTCCAAGATACATGGAAGCTTTTTTTTCCCCCTTCCCACATCCCCTTGAATTCGATTAATTCTTTGTCCTAGCAGAGGGCACACATCAAAGCAACTGGATGGAGTAAACAAACACACAAAATTTTACCTTTGGCAGGAGGATGAGATGGAGTCATAAGCCCCAGAGGAAGCAGAAGCTGGCAGCAGCGTCATCCGATGGACACCACTATGAGAAGCAGCAGCAGCAGAAGACGGACTGGCTGAAGCAGCAGGCATAGCAGAAGAGGTGCAGCTGATAGACACAGGCTCATGCTCAACAGGGGTACTAATTAAAGTTAAATTGGATAAAACAAGATGTATCTTTAAATGCTGGGCCTTGACAGGTCCACCCAGGTAGTGGATCAACAAAGATACATACAAAGAAGCAGGTGGACTTGCTTCAGGGTTTTGCAAGCATAGCTCAAAAGGACAATGGACATCCGGGTTTGAGGACGTAGGTTAGGGCTTGGACACACTCGGGGGTAAGAGACTAAGAGAGTCCCCTCACCAACTCTCTGCTTCCCAGCTGTGGGAAGATGCATCAATTGGTCAATCCAAGCAGGAGATGTGATATGATCTAGATCAGGGGTAGGCAACCTTGGCTCTTTTATGACTCGTGGACTTCAACTCCCAGAATTCCTGAGCCAGCACGGCTCAGCTTGGAAACCTCTCCCTTTCCCCTCACCATGACTGACTCAGGAATTCTGGGAATTGAAGTCCACAAGTCATAAAAAAGCCAAGGTTGCCTACCCCTGGTCTATGGGATCTTTAAGAGTCAACACCAACTTGATGGCACAAAATTAAGTCAACTGATCAATCAACAAGAGTTACCCTGTTTACAGTTGGGTGGCATAACTGTCTTCTGGAGCGCTAAATAAAGTAGCCATAGAAATGTTCTTTAAAGGAGGGATTCAAACTCTGTAATTTGCAGCACCGTCAGTGCCGGCTTTATTCAGCTTTAAGATGTAGGACACAACTGCCACAGCCGGATATAAACAAGATAAGTTTCTCTTATGAAAGGTGGATGCATTAAGAATTCATAGAAGGTTTTATAAACACCATACGACTCTCTCTGGTGGTGTTTCTCAACTCTGCTGGCTGAAGAATTCTGGGCATTGAGGTCCACACATTTTCAAATGGCTAAGTTTGAGAAACTCTGCTGTGTGGAATAATGTATATGAGATCTAGACATTTGTAACTCTCCTTCAACAGGGTTGTAGGAATTGGCTTTGGGTAGGCCATCTATAGTAAACAGACACCAATCCAATAATTCGGATAAAGGTCTTCTGTCCTCATCGGTGGATTGAATTTTGTATCGATTAGGGAAATGACAACTTTTTAAAACACGTAAAGCAGGCGAGATACACACATATACTCAATATCGGCAGCGTTGACCCTTTAACACGGTTTTAAAATTGCAGCAAAGCTCCACAACCACACAACAATGAGTAAGAGAACACATGGCTCGGGTGAAAGAAAACAAATTCTTTACAATGGCAAGACTACAGGACATGGACAAGGCTACTATGGGCACTGGCTCTTTAAAAGAAAAAGTGAGACATGTTGACTGGGAGCTAATGTGTGAAAATGTCTTTGATCTTTACCGCTCAGCTTTATTACATTTTGCTTGGAACTTTCCTTTTTTTTTTCAGTTTCTTTGAGATTGGAGAAGTAGAATTAATGAGCAAAATGATTGCCTTACATCTTGTAGAGCAGTGATTCTCAACCTTTCTAATGCCGTGACCCCATAATACAGTTCCCCATGTTGTGGTGACCCCCAAGTGGGTGTGGCCACCAATAAGAGGGAGTAGGACAGCTAGGGAAAAGGGAAAAAAATGGCGGACAGCGTGGTTTGGTGACCCCCGTGAAATGGTCATTTGACACCAAATGGGGTCTCGACCCACAGGTTGAGAACCACTGTTGTAGAGGTTCAAAGAACCCGTTGAACGCTTCCCTAAATAGCATGTATTTAAATTCATTTTGGGGAGAGTTTCTGCCTTTTCACACTCTTCCATTAATGAAGAAAAGGGGGTCCAAGCATTTTACCCTTCAACAGGTCTGTGATGTTGCAAGGTTCACCCCTTTGCCCCCCCCCCAGGCAAGGAAGAATCAGGAAGCCCAATCCACAGTACAAAAGGGCCTCTCTATGATATCATAAATGGCCAAAACTTCTATTATTATTTTTTTTAAAAAAACATATACTTAAAATTGGAAAGATGTACTACATCAGGGGTCTTCAAACTTAGCACTTTTAAGACTTGTGGACTTCAGCTCCTAGAATTCCTCCCCCATCATGGCTGGGTGAGGAATTCTGGGAGTTGAAGTCCACAGGTCTTAAAGTGGCTAAGCTTGTAGACCCCTGTACTATATCATCAAGCAGAACTCAAGCTGGTTTATATTCAGAATTTAATACCCACCTTGACCGAAATGGAACTCGGTCTCCCAGGAAGGTTTCACGTCTGTGTTCACGCACAACCACACACACACAAATGTGAATTAAACAAATTTCATAGATGAAATGCACAGTCTACCCAAGAACCTCATCGGCCCACTAGCCACAAATCCAGGACTAGGTTAGGAGGGTTTAAAAGCCTACTATTAGTGAGGTGCAGGTAAACGTTCATTGACTATGACTGTTGTGTGCTAGATCCGAGACTGGAAAGAAACACAGAAACAAACAGAAAGGCACATTACCTGTTTTCAGTTGTGGTGGCAACATGTTTCTTGACACTGTGGAAGGAACAGTATGAATAAATTTAGTGGACCAGTCCCCGGTGAGGGAGGAGGGTGTTAAGTAGGCAGAAGGTGTTTCCGGTTTGCTTGGTTACACACAACCAGTAGGAAAGTTACTTGCATATCAAGGGAAGCAAGTTGATCACAACATTTGACACAAAAGACAGAGCTTCAGTTCTCGCTGGGATACACTGTACCTCTTTCTGTGCAATTGAATCATGGACCTATATCTCTCCTTGCAACCCATCCATCCGTCCATCCATCCATCCATCCTTACATCCATCCATCCATCCATCCATCCATCCATCCACCCATCCATCCATCCAGCTAGCCAGCCCGGAAATCAGCTTGCCCAGATGTTTCTCCTTGACTTCTAGATTTTTAGCTGGAGAATTAAGTCCCATTTTCACAAAGAAAAGGTAAGAGCCTCAATCCACTCATACGTTTAGAAAATTAGCTTGCCTAGCTGTTCTCCTTGACATCTAGGTTTCTAACAGGGAGAGTTTTAAGTCCTGTACTTAGTACAAAAAGGCGATTAGACCTGACCGTCCCTATCCTCAGGCTTGAGTGGGGATACTGGGGAACAATTATTTATTATTTCAGTGCACCCACGTCCTGGAAGATTGAAAGAACAGATGGATGGATATTCTCTAGCCAGAACTCAAGGTGTCTTGAAATAGAGTTGCAGACGCAATCCGACGTATGTCTCTTGGCTGAGTCAGAAACAAGGGCCCCTTGTGTTTAACATAGCGTCCTCCCCAGAAGATAGACATGAGACTGGAATCCCAATAAATGATTATGTTGGAAATTACATAATATTGGAAATTGCACCTAATGAGCCCTTAGACCAGTTGAGCAAAGGGCAAGAATAGATAAAGAGGAAGGCTCTTCAAACTTTGCCTCTATATATTTCTTTCCCCTGACCAATATCTTCCCTTCCTTCCTTCCTTCCTTCCTTCCTTCCTTCCTTCCTTCCTTCCTTCCTTCCTTCCTTCCTTCCTTCCTCCCTCCCTCCCTCCCTCCCTCCCTTCCTTGTCAAATTATGAGACCACCCATCTCGCTCATACAGCAACTCTGGGCAGTGTACAATTAAAAGCATAAAAATCTTATAAATAGCACATTTGGAGGCAGTTAAAAAAAGGAACAGAACAATTAAAGTTAAATTTTCACTTTAACAACTTTGTGTTGATGAGACAAGAGTACTTCATTTTCCTCTTTCTTGTTATTCTCCCTTGAAGATATAAATTAGGCAGAAATGATAGCTTCCCCCCCAAAAAAAACAACTCAATTACAGTAATTATGGTATTTTCCTTTAACTCGGCTTAATTTGGGATGAGTATAAAATCATTGTAATACGAATGACAAATACCTTTGCAGGGAGAACTTTAAAAAACAACAACCCTGAACTTTGTGTGATACACATGTATCCTCCAAACACCAACCAGCTTTTCCCCTTCAGTTCAATCATTCCCATTTATATGCAAATGTATTTTAATTGAGGAATATGAATTTTAACTGATGAATGACTGCCATTTCTATGATCTGGAGACAGCTGCAGTAAGGCTATCTCGGTGATCCACATAGAGCTGTATTTCCCCTCAGCAGATGTGTGAGGACTGAGCAAACCATCATGCATCAAAGCTAATCTGTCAATTAATAAAACGTTGGAACACAAAGAACACAAGGGCACTTCCATTGCCTGTTGAATCATCTGCTTCTGTTCTTGTAGAAGAGAAGTGTCTGTTATTAGGTCCTTTTTTTAGAATATGGTTTATTCCCTGCTCTGTCCCTCAATTAGATTGTTAGTTTCAGCACGAGTGTTTTTTTAATCAATAGAATCAAATAATCCATTTCTTTTTTTTTTAAAGTTTCACAAACTCTTAACCTTGGCAGCTTGAAGATATGTAGACTTCAACTTCTGGAATAACAGAATAACAAAGTCGGAAGGGACCTTGGAGATCATCTAGTCCAACCCCCTGCTCAGGCAGGAAACCCTATACTATTTCAGACAAATGGTTGTCCAGTCTCTTCTTAGCAACTTCCAGGGTTGGAGCACCCACAGCCTCTGGAGGCAAGTCATTCCGTGGATCAAGTGTTCTAACGGTCAGGAAATTTCTCCTTGGTTCTAAGTCAGTGGTTCTCAACCTTTCTAATGCCGTGACCCCATAATACAGTTCCCCATGTTGTGGTGACCCCCAAGTGGGTGTGGCCACCAATAAGAGGGAATAGGACAGCTAGGGAAAAGGGAAAAAAATGGTGGACAGCGTGGTTTAGTGACCCCCGTGAAATGGTCGTTCGACCCCAAATGGGGTCCCGACCCACAGGTTGAGAACCACTGTTCCTGGTGGTTTTTCTCCATGATTAGTTTTCATCCATTGCTTCTTGTCTTGCCTTTGGGTGCTTTGGAAAATAGGTTGAACCCCATTCTTTGGGGCTGCCCCTCAAATATTGGAACACTGCTATCACACCATCCCTGGTTCTTCTTTTCATTAAATTAGACCTACCCAATTCCTGCAACTATTCCTCGTATGTTTTAGCCTCTAGTCCAGGGGTAGGCCACCTTGGCTCTTTTATGACTCGTGGACTTCAACTCCCAGAATTCCTGAGCCAGCCATGCTGAGGGGAAAGGGAGAGGTTTCCAAGCTGAGCCATGCTGGCTCGGGAATTCTGGGAGTTGAAATCCACGACTCATGAAGGGGCCAAAGTTTCCCTCATGCTGGCTCGGGAATTCTGGGAGTTGAAATCCACGACTCATGAAGGGTCCAAAGTTTCCCTCATGCTGGCTCAGGAATTCTGGGAGTTGAAGTCCACAAGTCATGAAGGGGCCAAAGTTTTCCCCATGCTGGCTCAGGAATTCTGGGAGTTGAAGTCCACGAGTCATAAAAGAGCCAAGGTTGCCTACCCCTGAGCTAGTCCCCTAATCATCCTTGTCACTGTTTCCCAGAATCCCCCAGCCTGCAAAGAAGGCACACAGATATTCCCAAAAGTGCTTTTTTTCCCCCCAAAAGGCAACTGGACTTTCTTTTATTTTTCCGTGAAGACATTTTGCTTCTCTTGACTGAAGAAGCTTCTTGGATGAGAAGCCAAATGTCTTCAAGGAAAAACAAAGAAAGTCCAGTTGCCTTTTGAAAGAAAAAAAAAAAAACACCTTTGGGAAAACCAGTGCTTTTTTTCTAAAAAAAAAGAAAAAAAAGAAAAAAAAGAAAAGGTGCTGGAACTCACACACGTCATACAACCCGCCTTGCCTACCCTACAAGGTTCCATCCAAAAAAGGTGCCGGAACTCTGTTCTGGGTGTTCTATGAGAAAAAAAAGTCCTGGGCAAAACCATAAACTGGATGACTGAGGACACACCGGAATTGTTTCTAAATGGGAAATAGTTCAATTACCAGGTTTCTTGTAAATGCCTTGTCTTTGATTTCAGAAAATCTTGCTAAAGAAGATTCTGTTTAAAGTAGGGGTGTCAAACTCAATTTCATTGAGGGCCACATCAGCGTTGCGGTTGCCCTCGGGGGGGCTGGGTGGGTGCGGCCCACTGGGTGGGCGTGGATGGAGTGGATGTGGTCTACTGGGTGGGCATGGCCAGCTCTACATTGTTCATGTCAAGGGGGCCTGTGGGGGCCTGGGCAGGAGTGGGACAGATCTGGGGGTCTCTGGCAGAAAGGGGTGGGACCGGGGCAAGCGCCAAGGCGTGGTCCATTTCTTCATTCCTCACAAAGGGTGACACCTCCCCAGCATGCACCCAGGGGGTGGGGCCAACGCGGCAGGGGCTGGTTCCTCGCTGTTTCCAGACGACCTTGTGGAGCTAAGACTGAATGTGTTTCAGCATAGATGGCCACCACAAAATTGTACATTGGCTCCTGGTCAGCCTGGGCCAGGGCCAAGGCAGCGGGGGCCGTTCCCCCACTGTTTCCAGGATGGCTTCATGGGCCACATGAAACCACTTCGCGGGTCGCATCCAGCCCCCGGGTCCTGTGTTTGACATGTCTGGTTTAAAGCATGCAGGGTGGAGGTCCAACTGCTTGACAAGCATGCTTGACTGAATTCTCTTCGGCAAAGTGAAATAATTAAGCAGATCAGCAAATCGAGCAGATTACCAATTGCTATTTACTCTTTTGCTGTACTCTTCTATCAGTTGGCAAAAGGCAAAAGGGGTCAGACGACCCTTACCTATTTTATATTTTATTTAAATGCTTATATCAAAAGAGCTACTCCGCAGTGGTGACAGGGGCATTGTGAAAGAAAGAAATGAAATAGCATGATATGAAAGAATGAAATAATATAGTTTCCTTGTAACAGAAAGGCAGCCAATTCAAAGGAAATAGAAAGTACAGATCTCAGCAACCGTGGCTTCATTTTAAATTAGTTCATACTTTTGATGCCAGCTATTCAAATAATTCTTCTTACTGTCCAAAAAAGCTATATTGTGTGATATAATTTGAATAACTTAGCAGATGGAGAAGAACCACGCTACTGATTATGCTTTGTCTTTGCACCAAAATCGAATGCAATTCCGGAGCACACGCCCCAGGCTAATTCCCACATGCCTGTTTATCATCTGATGATTTAAATATCAAGTAACAACTTGTGTGAGCAAGCTAACCATGATTGCACAAGTTCAAACTTCTGCAGAAGCAACACCATACAAGAGAACTGGCTCTGACATGAAACAGAGAGAGACTTTTAATGATGTGCAATTAAAAAAAAATGTATTTGCAAGGGTGAACTCCGTGACTTTTGGGGTGTATCTAACTATTGATAATGCTGATAATCTCTTCTCTGTTTTACTCCACATTGACTGTCCCAAAGATGCTTTTTTAAATTAAATTAAATTTTTAAATTTAATTTAAATTAAAGGCAACTGGACTTTGTTTTTCCTAGGAAAATCAAAGTTCAGTTGCCTTTTGAAAAGGCATCTTTGGGACAACCATGACCTGGATGATTGAGAATCTCCATAGACATCCACGTTGACTGGTTGACCAACCCAACTTCCAAAGC